GCCTGCCCGCTGGCCGGCCCACGCTCACCCGCGTAGCGCCTGAGCGCGTCGCCGTGCTGCATCACCTCGTTGTCGTAGCTGCGCTTGGCATCCTGGTACTGCCGCCGCAGCAGGCCCACCTCCTCCCGCAGCCGTGCCGCCTGGTCGGCCTGCACCGCCTGGTCGGCGCGCGCAGCCTCCGCCTCGGCCTGCGCAGGCAGGGGAGGCCGGGGGGGCGGGTGGGTGGGTGGGAGGGGAGCCAGGCGGCTCTCACAGGGGCAGGTCTCCTTGAAAGATGAGGCCGAGGCCGAGGGCCGAGGCAGGCAGACGGCCAGCAAAGCACTCGCCCGGCAGCAGGCCGCGCGCACGCAGGCGGGCATGAGGCGGCCCCACCACCAGCCCCACCCCGCGCGCCGCCCCGCCAGGCCGCGGCCACCCACCACCAGCCTCTGCTTCTCCGCCGTGAACTCTCGGTCCAGGCGCTCGCACTCGGCGGCAAACTCCTGCTCCGCCTGCTTCGCCTCCCGCACCTCGCCCTCCTTGGCGCCCACCGCTGCGCGCAGCCGCTCAATCTCCTCGTTGGCGGCGTTGAAGCTGGGGCAGGGGCAGGGTGGATGGCAGCAGGGTGGAGGGGCGTCAGCGCCGATGTTGGCAGATGGGCCCCGCACGGCGCTGCGCCCTGGCCGGCCCCCTCCGCACGTCGCCAGCCAGCCCCCAGGCGCGCGCCCGCCTCACCGCGCCGCCGCCTCCGCCTTGAACCGATCGTGGTCGCCCCGCATCGACTTGAGCGCCTCCTCGCTCGTCTTGGCCAGCATCTCAAACTGCTTGGAGTGGCCCGTGGCGGCGGCGGCAGTCTCCTGCAGGGAGGGAGGGGCGGGGCCGGGGCGGGGCGGGGTGCCGAGAAATGATGGTGATGGAGGGGGGAGCAGCAGGTACGGCAGGGGCAGTGCATAGCTACGCTGGGAAGTCGCCTGTGGTGGGCAGCCCAAACCCAACTCGCCCCGCCGGCGGGGCCCGGCCCGCCGCCCACACACCCACCTGCGCTGCAGCCAGCTCCTCACGCAGCAGCTTGACCTCCGCCGCCAGCTCGGCCTCGCGGCTGCCGGCGGCGCCGCCGCCGCCGGCCGATGCGTTGCCGCCCTGGGCGCCGCCGCCGCCGGCCGCCGCCCTGGAGTTGCGCTCCATCTCCAGCCGCGCCGCCCGCTCCTCGGCCTTGCGCACCGCCTCCTGCAGCAGCTCCACGCGCGCCTCGGCCGCCGTGGCGCGCTGCTGCGCCGCCGACAGCGCGTCGCGCAGCTGGCGCACCTGCGGGCGGGGCGGGGCAGGCAGGCAGGCAGGCAGGGCTGCTGGATGCCTGTGCCGGCGCAGGGAGGGGTGGGGGCACGTGGCCCAAGGCCTGCCAGAGCCAGCCCACAGCTGTGCCGGCGCCGCCGCACCTCCTCATCCAGCTTCTGCAGCTTCTGGGTGGCATCTGCCTGCGAGGCCTCGGACGCCTTGACGGCGCCCTCGGCGCGGCTGCGGGCCAGCGCCAGGTCGCGCTGCGCCTCCGACAGCTCGCGGGTGGAGCGCTGGACCTGCGGGGCGGGGCGGGTGGGTGGGTGGGGGGTGCAGGGCAGCACATGGTGGGTGGGCACACCAGGACCCTGGGGTCTCCAGGAGGGCAGCGGCAGCCATCCTGCAACCACACCGCAGGCGGAGCAGTGCCGCACTTGCACAAGGCGCGCTCCCTGCTCCTGCGGCCCCCCAGCGCTGCCCCTCCCCTCACCTCTTCCTTGAGCCGCGTCACCTCCCTGGCCAGCTCCCCCTCGCGGTCGGCATGCACCTTGCGCGCCGCCTCCAGCTCAGCAGCCAGCCTGAACTTGGTGCGGGACAGCTCAGTGGCCTCGGCAGACGCGCGCTGCTCCGCCGCCGTCAGCAGCCGCTTCTCCGCCTCCAGCCCCTCCGCCCGCATGCTCTCGCGCCGTGCCTGCAAGCCGCGGGGGGGAGCAGGCAGAGGGGCAGGCGCAAAGGCGGTCAGCTGGCTGCCTGTGCGGCAAGACGCAACACCTGGGAGGGGGCCGGCTGGCAAACAAGCCTGGAAATCCGCCTGGCATGGCGCAGCTGGCCGCCCGGCGCCTCTGCCTGCCCCCGCCTCTCACCGCATCGCTGGCCTCGTCTGCCGTGGCCTGCGCCTGCGCCAGCTTGCGCTCCGTGTCGGTCAGCAGCGCCTGGTGCTTGGCGTTGCTGGCAATGATGCTCTCCACCTGCTGCCGCTGCATCTCCACGCTCTCCGCCAGCCGCGTGCCGCGGTCCCGCTCAAACTCGGCCTCGGCGCGAGACCGGCTGGCCTCGGCGCGCGCCGCAGACGCCTCCTCGCGAGCGCGCGCCAGCTGCGGTGGGAGCAACACAGCAGGGCGGGGATGGGTGGGTGCCAGGGCCTGCCATCAGCACGGCCAGCCAGCCACGCAGCCAGCCAGCGGGCCCCGTTCGCCCCACGCCCCCACACTCACGTCCTTGCCCAGCATCTCGTGCGTCCTCGCCGCCTCCTGCTTGTACTCCTTGTACTGCTGCTCCAGGTCAGCGTACATGCCGCGGTAGTCGGGGCCGCCGCCCTCCCCGCCTGGTGTGCCCGCGCCCGCCGGCGTGCCTAGCGGCGAGGCGGCGCCCGCCGCGGCGCCGCCCGCTGGCGGCGGCGACTGCACCGCCGCCGAGGTGGCGTAGGCCTTGCGCGCCTGGTCCAGGTCGCTGCCGCTGCTCTCCAGCAGCTGGCGCAGCGTGTCGCGCTGGCGCACCACCTGCGAGCGGCGGCGGCGG